GCCACCACCACCTGGCTCTAAGAAATTGTTTTAAATGAAGGATTTGGGGGATATTTAACCTGAACAGGAAATTAAATGGGGGGTGGGGTGAATAATTCCTTTAACTTTGGCTGGAGGTTGCATAAATCTCAGCCATGCCACACAGCCAGGGACCACAAGACACCAGTAAACCCATGTCCAGCACCAGGAGTCCAGGCCAGGCAGTGCCTCCTAGAAGGGTTAAGGGTTCCTACAGTTTGAAGACCCACTCAATCCGCAGGACTTGCGCCTGGTAGGTGGGGGGCAAATGAAGAGAATGCGTGTTTGAACCACAGCCTCTGCTACTCTTTAGTTATTTGTGATCTCAACAGGAAAACAGGAAATCTGAAGTAGACAGCGGTTATTTCCAAGGTCCCTCCCTAAGGGTCCTAACTCTCCAGGCAAGTCTGGTCCCCAGGGGGTTGGGCAGATGTGGAGTTGGAGTGGGGTGGGGGGACGACAGACATTCCTTCAGGCTTGGGTTTGCAAGGTCTCTCCAAATGCCAGTTCCAGAGCTACTGGCTGGACCCACCCTGAGAACCCTTGGGTTGGAAACCCAAATCTCTGCGCACAGGTTTCTGCGTCCTCACCACGCTAGACCGCCTAGTGACCGCACTGGGCTCCAGTTAGCTCTTGTGCACTATGGAGAGCCTTTCCCCAGAGATCGGCTGAAGGAAAGAGAAAGAGCTCCCAGTGAGGGACGTGGGGCCCGGCCTGGCACTCGGGAGGCCGTGAGCAGCGACATGCGGCTTTGGGTGACCGTCGTCCTCGACGGCTGCGCCCAGCGGAGTGAGAGCATCCCGTGAGAGCCTGCTGGGCCTCAGGCCCCGGGCCCCTGGCGGGAAGACTCCAGTGGGTACGCACCACCCGTGCGTTCCCTTCCCGCCCAGACCTGGCCCAGTCCAGCCCGGCGGGGTCGCCCGGGGTGCTTAGAGACCCCAGGACACCCACACAGCTCCAGCCCGCCTCCTTAGCCGGGCGCACCCGCCCCGTCCCCGCCCCGCGCACGCGCGGCGCGGGCTCCTACCTTCGCGGGCCGCCGCCGAGGCCGAGCGGACACAGCCGAGGGGCGGGGCGTGCGCTTCGGGGGCGTGGAGAAGGCGTGGCGACGTAGGGGGTGGGGCTAGAACGGCGGGAGGGACCGACCAAAGAGAAGGGCCTTCGAGGCGCGGAGAGGGAGGAAGAGGCGGGGTCTTAGGGGGTGGCCCCAACGGGTGAGGGCGTGGCCGAGGCGGAGAGCACCTCCTGGTGGAGAAAGGCGCTACAATGGCGAAGCGGGGGCGAGGCTAAGACAGAGCATGCGCCCTACGGTGGGGACAGGCTCCCCGCCGAAGGGGCGTGGCGTAGTGAAGGGGCGTGGTGTAGTGAAGGGGCGAGTCTGACTCGAGGCAAAGCTCCCAGGGGGTGGAGAAAGGCTATGCCCAGTGTTAACGCAGTCTCCCTCTGCTGCCTGAGGATCAAGATGTAGAACTCTTAGCTCCTCCAACACTGTCTGCCTGCACACCACCAGGCTTCCTTCCATGACAATAATGGACAAAACCTCTGAAACTGTAAGCCAGCCCCAATTAAATAATTAAACCTTTTTCTTTTTTTTCAGTCCATGGAGGCTTTTTGTGTTTCACATCTCTAGAAAAAGAATCCCAGGATTTTCCCTCCTGTGTGTTCTCATCTTGCTTCTTCATGGTCCATGATGCCAGCTGAGGTTGTCAGAACAATGAAGCCAAACCAACATGATGGGAGCAGACTGTTCTGCCATTTTTCTAGGTCTGTGAGTTGCACATCAAACCTAGGGCTTCTCACCCCACACTTGTTCCATCTGCCTGTGAGGTTCACGATGATTTTCTCAGCTCTGTGGTCATCAATGATTTCAAACTCACCAGTATAGCCATGCTTCGTCATCACAGTTAGGAACCTAACGATGACTTTGGAGCAGGGCCTGATGAGGACCTGGCATTTGCCTCTCTTCTCAGCATCGTTGATGCTCTTGAGGGCATCAGCCAGGGCATTCTTAGGCACCATGGTGATAGTTTGCGGAAAGAGGCATGTTTTTTCTTTATATAAGAGTTGCCATGGTCATAGTGTCTTTTCACAGCAATAAAACCAAACTTGGGTCTTCTGCAAGAGCAGTACACACACTTAAATGCTGAGCCATCTCTCCAGCTCCTATAATATTCGTGATACCAAGTCTCACTATGTAGCCAGGGCTGGCCTGTAACTCACCATTATCCCACCTCCACTTCTGAGTATTGCAACTACAGATAGGTACCATCACACCTGGCAGATTTTAAGGGAACCCTACAGGTCTACCCATTTTTATGTTCAGCCTCCATGTACACAAAGGGCATTCACTTAGTGGGCAGCAATATGATGCTGAAGTGATGAGGCACAGCCCTCTTCTGTTTTCAGTGGGCAGGATTTCTGAACTTTTTCTGCCTGGCCTGTGTACATGCACCCTTTCACACTTGGGCTTGTGTGGTGGGTTCTCCACAGCTTTGTCCACTGAAGGTCTATGACACAAGCAGTTTCCAACTGCCACAAGGTGGGAAAAGACTCCTCTAGACATGTTAAGAGATGTGCTATCCTCAGAGCAAAAGATCAGGTTCTCTTCTGGATGACAGGATGCCCTGGCACCTGAGAGCTGAGCAGCCACGCTGCCAAGAACACACCCATCTGACATAAACTACACAAGTAAAAACATTTATTTTTCCATCTTTAAAACTCTGGTCCCACAAGGTCAAAACCTCTTTCAGTTCACACTCTTGACCTTTCAAAAGAGAAACCTTTCAACTGAAGGTTGAGTCTATAAAGAAACTTTCGAGATGCAATGAGGAGACAATGATTTCTTATAAATCACTACTCCTGATGGCCTGGACTTTCAGCTAACAGACCTCCTTCTGTCACAGTCTCTGAAGGGGAAAAAGAGGCTATCTACAGATATTCCCTCCAAAAGCCACCAGGGAAGGACCAGCTGTACCATGAACCTGTGAGCCCGGAGCAGAACCAGAAGACAGGCCGGCTGGCCCCACCTGTGATGCTGCAACTTCCCCACATTACCCAGCAGGATTCCAGAGCCTGCCCCACCTGAGGGGGGCCTGGCTGAAGACAGGGTAAGTGCAGGCTGACTCTCCCTGCTGCCTCTGAGGCTCAGGGCAGGGAGAAGGGTGTGAAAGGCCCTCGCCATGGCGGGTCCCTTGCAAGGGCACGTTAGTGCTGGTCAGCATATTAGCAGAGCAATGTATTAACATTTTCAAAAAGCTGCTTAGTCCTTCCAGTGTCCCCTGACAGACCACTCAAGCCACAGCTCAAAGACTTGCTAGCAATCAGGATGGTCTCTGGAAGGCACCCGACAACGGCTACTATGGACAGAGTGCAGAGACCCCAGCCCAACAATGAATCTGGGACACCTGCCAACTTGAAGGGCAGAGCTGAACCCAGGCCACAAACTCAACCCATTCTGTGCTTTAGGGGCTGTGTTTAATAAGGATCACTTGATGGAAGAGGGCAGGTCTGGGTCCCTCCCATGAGGAGGAAGGATGGGGGGGCCTGGAGTGTTTGTCTTCTGGCTGTGCAGCCCCTGAACCCCAGCAAGTGTGGCACGGAGCCCATTTACTGCTTCTTGTGCTCAGGCTGTTAGAGAGCTGGGCAAGGAGAGGACAGTGATGTTCCAGGGGCCAGCCAGAGAGCGCTTTGCCTCCTTCTGTGGGCCTGGATGAGGCAGCTCCTTCCCGGAAGTCATGAAGAAAAAGTTGTGCATCAAAACTGGACCCAGCCGGTGCCAGGCTGAGACTGGCTGGACGGTGGCCTGTGAAGGGAAGACAGGGAGGGTGGCATTATCACGCTGTTGAGAGCGGCCACAGTGGGCATCTTTTGGGGCAGAAGGAGCTCTGAGCAGGCAGTCCCCAAAGGGCCTAGGGCAGCAGGCAGCAAATCTGGCCCGTGTGTGGATTTTAGCTGTCCGTTCCTTTACAGAGGACAGACCTGTACTGACAGCCCCAGAGTCTCCCTCATACCCTGATGCAGGAATCTGGCATCTTTCCAATCTTTCCCTGATCCCAAGGGCAGGCCATAAAGCTCAGGAGATGCCTTCCTCAGAGGTCCTGTAAAGATGGTCCAGGCCTAAAATCTGGGTTTTGATTCCTGACCCCAGGCAGCACTTGGTGACCAGTTTGCAGAAGGAGGTTTCAGGCAGTGGGGAACAGTGAAAAGCCTTTATAGAGGTAAGGGGGGCAGTGTGTCGCCAAGCTAGGGCTCTGTCCATGTTTGCCATGAAAATGTAACCAGAGCTGGACTCCAGCAGGTCGAACCAGTAACTCCAGGGACCGCAGGGAACAGCTCTGGCCCCACCCAGCCCAGAAAGCTTCCCGCCTCACCCTGTGGATTTGGTGAAGTCGCCCCAGACATCAGCAGTGGCAGCGGCAGCAGGCTTAGACTGTGGCCAGGGTTCTGTTGTACAGTGAGGGAGAAAAGAGACAGGGAAGTCAGAGATCTTTCTGGTGTTCTCAGTTACTAAATTCTGAAATCTGGTGGCCAGTCTCGTGACCCCAGGCAGCTGAGACACAGGGAGACAAACAACTCCAGAGAGTCACATTTCCACCACCTTTTTCATGGATCCTTGGTGGTCCCTAGAGAGAAAGCAGGAGCCACACACAAGGTGGAAAGAACAGTGCCAGGGCCCAGGAGTCGCACCTGTGCCCTGGGTTCTGGAGTGGGAACGCCTCCCAAAACCCCAGAGCACCTTCCAGAAAGCAAGCCTGAGGTACCGTGTGGATCAACCGGCTCCAGCCTCAGGTCAAACACTGCCAGGGAGAGCCTTCCAGTCCAGGCCACACAGAGCTGGCCCTGCACCTCTCCCCTGGGGCAGCCTACTCCTGGTTTCTTACCCCTGGCACCTTTCCTGTGCTGTGACGGCCACGCTGCCACTTCTCATCTGCCCTGGGCTGGGAAACAGATAAAGAAGGCCCACAATGGGGGCACTTGGCAGCTCACTGAGTGCTAAGCATGCATTATCCCATTTGCATCTCACCACAGCGCCTAGAGGAGGTCAGGCCGGGATTAGCCGTGTGACTCTGCAGGTCATCTGAGTCTCAGTTTTCTCATCTCTCATTCGGCTGACAGGATAATTTCACAGGGCAGAGTGAGTGCATAGATCTGGCATGCTCAGTACAGGCCCAGCACACGGTATCACTAAAATGCCAATGTGTAAACCCAGGCTGGCACCCAGTGAGAGCTCAGAGTGGTCAGCATACTCCTCCATGTGGCACATGGCTTAGCTCAGGTGGTCTTCACTATAGGCACCATCACTACCTCATTCTACAGATGGGAAAACAGAGGCACAGAGATGCAGGCCAGTAGAAGCTCAAAAACTGGTCTAAATTCTGTCCCAGTGGCTCCGGAGCAGACAGCACCAGCAGCTGGCAGCTGACCTACTGCCTGACGCCATCTTGTGTGTGAACATGCTCACTGCAGGCTGTGAGCACTAGGATGGAAACCACAGAGAGCAGACTCCATGCTGTACAAAGGGTCCCGACCTAATGGTGCTGGATTTGGTTTTTTCAGCTTTATTATGGTTTAGGAAGGTGTTAAATGCATTTCTACCTGTTTATCAGAATGTTACTCCATCCACCCCAAGTCAAGGAATACCTGTCCTATGGTATCTCCAGGACCTAATCCTCCACGTGCACTCAGACAGGGCCCAGAAACCAGGGAAGGCCGAGACATACACAAGAATGTCCTAAGCATTCAGACTGCTGCTCCTGTCCCTGGCGATGCCACAGCCAGTCTCCTGTGAGCACACTCTAAACATAATGCCAAAAGAATGATTTCCTGATGCTGCTTTCACCTCTGGCACTCTCCTGACCAATCTCAAACTGTCGGGTTGGAGCCTGACCTCCAGAGAGAGGAGCCAATGTCAGAGACTCTAAGAACCAGGAGCACAGCAAGGCTCCCTGCCTAGGTGCATCACTCCAGCCCTGCTGAGAGCACTGTGAAAAGGGCTGGTGACAATCCCAGCCTGCTGGGGAGGGGGAGGGGAAGCAGCCTCTCAGCTCCCCAGCTTCTGATGGTGCACCAAGGAGCCACACCACATCCCCGCCGTGGTGTCTCCTGCTCACAGCGGCACACTAACAGCTGCATCCACCTCTCTAAGAACAACGCTTCTCAAAATCTCAGCCTTGGTCTCGCTCTTCTTTCTACCTAGAATGCCAACTCCTGCTCCAGCGGCCTTCCTTCAGAGTCTAGGCTCCTCTGGAAAGGTCCCCCCAGGGGTGTGTTGCTGACCCCAGTGACGTGGGCCCGACACATGTGGCCTGTGCACCTGTGGTTCGTCTCTCCCTCGACATCTGAGCACAGACCACTTGATAACAACTGAGGCCCAGCCACCTGCACAGTGACAACTTCAGTCATGCCTACCAGGACAGGACAGGTGCCCTGAAGGGTTACAAGAAAGGCCAGGGAACAGAAGAACCTCAAGTATAGCAAGATGTGCCACCATCTAGTCACACACACCCAGCTACAAAGTGAGTGTGAGGAACGGGAGCAACAGGATCACTTCTGGGGACAAAGCTGCCAGGTTCGGACGTAACCGTCACCCCAGCACTCACCTGAAGCAGGAACAACTGCTGGCTGGACTGGAGATCCCCCGACAGACAACTGCTCCCCAGAGGGAGGGACGAGGGTGGAGGTCTTGCCCCCTGGAGGCGGGGGAAGCAGGCTCAGCCCTCCTGTGCTGGCAGGCCTGGTTCTTGACGTCCCAGCTGCTCCTTCCTTCTTTCTCATGTTCTAAAGAGAAGAGAAGAATGAAGTCAGCCATCATGCCAGAGTCATCGTGTACTGGAAAACCCCATGGAGACCGCCAGTCCTCAACATCTGTACAGCAAACGACAGTCCCCTCCAGCAGCAGCATGAGCTAGAGCCAAGCCATCTAATCTTCCATGTAGCATCAATGCAGTCAATGTTAAAACCCAGCTCCTGATCTCACTTCGCATCAGGAAAGTACACACCAGTTACAGCCATACACCATTCTGCCCCACGGAAACAGCCCGAACACTGACTGCAGTATACTGATGGGCACAGAGCAGCCAGAACATTCGTGCATAGTGAGGCAAGGGAAGCCGGTCAGAACGATCTGCCGAAGCATCCAGAGGCATCCACTAAGCGCATCACAGGATTCTGCAGTCCCATCCTTAGACATGTGTGCACAACAAAGACATGAGCTTGGACATTCACAGCAGCACCATCAGGAGCTAACCCAGATGGAATCCCTCCCCCAGTGTTCATCCTGTGAAACAGATGAATGAGGAGGAGCACACGCACAATGGCATGTGCCATCACAGAGGACAACCAACCACAAGCAATATGAGTAACTCTTACAACAGAACACTGAATGAGGGGATCATATTGAAAGGGATTAAGTCTCCCACACAACTCACAACAGCGAAGCACAGACCCAATCCAGGGTATCTGAAGTCAGGGCGGGAAGCTACTGGAAGTGGGCAGGACTTGGGCTCCCAAAGGGCTCAGTCTTCTACTTCTTGTTGACCTAGGGAAGTCCCATGCTTTTAAGTTTGTGTGTGTGTGTGTGTGTGTGTGTTCATACATGTGACTGAGGGTGTGTTTGAGTATGCAGGCCAGAGGTCAATCCTGAGTGTCATCTTCAGAAACACCACCCACCTCCTTGAGTTCGAATCCCTTACTGACCTGGAACTCACCACTTAGATGAGGATGGCTGGCCAGTGAGCACCAGGGATGCTCCTGTCTGCCTAGCACTGGGTTACAAGCATGTGCTACCCACACCCAGCATTTTGTTGTTGTTGTTGCTGGTGGTGGTCTTTGGTCTTGCATTCAGGTTCTCATGCTTGCAAGGCAAAGTCATCTGTCTTCTCAGCCCTTGTTTGGTTTCAAAACCTCACTCTGTTCCACATTTATTTTTTATTTTTATTTATTTATTTATTTTTTTTTAAGATTTATTTATTTATTATGTATACAGTGTTCTGCCTGCAGGCCAGAAGAGGGCACCATATCTCATTATAGATGGTTGTGAGCCACCATGTGGTTGCTGGGAATTGAACTCAGGACCTTTAGAAGAGCAGCCAGTGCTCTTAACCGCTGAGCCATCTCTCCAGCCCTCTGTTCCACATTTATAATCCAGGCACTTTTCTATATGCGACACTTCAGTACAGCATAATAAAGCAGTGAGCGCCAAGTGTGAGCCAGAAACCAGCACAAGCCACACTGATAACGAAGCAGTCTCTGTGTGAGCACAGCAGCAGCAGCAGCAGCAGCAGAGATAGAACGCCCAGCATCCTCCCCATGCACCCAGTTGGACCAGCTGTTTCTAGTTCTCCTCTCCTGGCCAAGTCCCCCCTCCCACTCCCTGTCTCTGTGCCTTAACCTTCTGTCTTTTACAGAGGGAGGTCCTGAAGTCGTATGAGAAACGCCTGAAAACACTACCTGGCCCACAGCTGACGCTCATTAAATGTTAGTTCTTCCAAGCAAGAGAAAGAATCCCAGTGCCACCAGTCCACTGGATTGGACCTGCATTTCCTCTCAAGGGCCAGCTGGCCAACTTCAAGGTCCCAAAGCATCACCAGCATGAAGCAGGAAAGAGAAAGAAATGGTAAGTAAAGAGGAAAAGCATTATTTCAGAGTCACACGCTTTCTCTAAACAGACCCATTTGGTCCTTGGTTCCCCCAAATGCCTCCCAACTCCATCGCCCCTCCACTCCAGCAGCCCGTGCCTGGGCATCCAGTCCACCCTGACCTGTTTCTATTCAACAAGAGCTGGCAGGGGATGCTGGATGCAAAGCCACACAGCAAGAAGACTCGAGGAGCCAGGACAGCACCACCAGCAGAAGCTGCCCATGGTTCCCAGCACCCTCCTCAATGCCTTCCAGCCCAGGGTGCTGCTCCCAAACCGTCCTCACTCAGGCATGAGGCCAAGATACAGCTTGAGATAAGCACACTGAACCTCCTGATCCACTCTAACAGGCGGACAGACACACCAGCACTGGTGCTGAGTAGCTACCCTCTGATCCATCCCTCCTGCCCGCCCACAGGCCGCTCTTTCCAGGAAGCCTTCCATGGTTTCCAGCATTATGGGCCATGTGTTTTTCCTCCAGAAGCCCTGGCTCCAGGGCTGCTGCAGTCCTAGAGTCTCTCCTGCCACTTTGCAGTCACATCTGTACATGGTCAGCTCAACTTGGAAAGCCATAGAAGCAGGGGCCTGGTACCCTGGGGTGAACCGAGCACAAGGCCAAGCTGCTGGATCAACTATGGCTACCGGGATGGAACTGAACTGTAATGGGTTTGGGTTGGGGAGCTTTGGGCTGGGTGGCTTCAAGAGTCACAAGACATGGCCCACAAAGTCAAGTGAGGGTGGGACTCACTGCGATGTTGATCTTGATGGTCTGTCCCTCCTTGAAGCCCAGGTCCAATCGGGGGCCTTCGTCTGGGTTCTGGGCTTGTTTTGCAAACTCACACTGCTGTTTCACCCACCTGGGGAGGACCAGGAAGAGAGTGTGAGGCAGGAGCAGCAGCTGCCCTGCATTCATCCACAATGACTTCAGTTTAGGAGGCCAGTCCTGAGGCCAACTTCCCAATCAGTGGTTCAAGTCCCAGATGTGGAACTCTTAAGCAGCTGCATGGCTATCAGCTCCCTGATCAGCACGATGGTTTAGACGTAGGGGTTGAATGACCCTTTCACAGGGGTCACATATCAGGTATGCCGCATAGCAGATATTTATTTGTTTGGTTGGTTGGTTGGTTGGTTTGGTTTTTTTCAAGACAGGGTTTCTCTGTGTAGTTTTGGTGCCTGTCCTGGATCTCGCTCTGTAGCCCAGGCTGGCCTCGAACTCACAGAGATCCGCCTGGCTCTGCCTCCCGAGTGCTGAGATTAAAGGCGTGCGCCGGCATCACCCAGCAGATATTTATATTATGATCATTAACAGTAGCAAATTTAGTTATGAAGTAGCAACAAAAGTAATTTTATGCTTGTGGTCACCACAACATGAGGAACTGTATTAAAGGGTTGCAGTTGCAGCATTAGGAAGGTTGAGAACCACTGGCTTAGACTCTAAGGTCTTAACACTGCTCTGAGAACTGGATAAGCTCATTCACACATGGTACCCAGGAGGAGCGAGAGCCTGCGCTTTCCCTGTGGCTCTGGCTCCACCTGGACACTCCTATATTCTGAGACAGGACAGACGCCTAAAAGCAAAGGGCAGCACAATGCTGCGTACCCTCCTACAATGCTACTAGCAGCCACCTGGGATGGGGTGTCCACACAAACGGCCAGGCACTGCCCAGCTACCATCAGTCAGGGGCAGGGCCCTGAGGATGCCCTGTCCTTTCACAAAGGACACCAAAGCATCTTTGAGGTAACCTGGAGATGCTAGTCTCACTTATGACATTATAAAGGAGCAGACCCTGAGAGCCATAGGAGCCTGACAAGGACTCTGAGAGCTCAGGGGCTGCTGAGGAAGAGCTGGGACACTGAAAAGGCCAGGCCAGCTGACACAGGGGCACCCAGACTTGGGGACCAGCAGAGCAGAGAAGGCGACCTGGAGGAGGACTGCCAGGCTGCTAAGAGACAAAGCAGTCACTGAACTCCGTAACCAGGAAGAAAGAAGGGAGGAGAAGGAGGAGACTGTCCCAAGAATACTGTCCCAAGAGGTACTCACTTGAAATGGTCTTGTAATGCCACGTTGAAGTCAAAGGCGTCCCCTCGGTCCCCAAAGCCAATCCCAATAAAAGCATGTCGCCCTGGAGGGGGGAGGTGAGAGCCATCAATCTCCTGTTTCTGGAGGCAAGGCTTCTGAAGCTCAGAAGAGCCCCCAGACCCAACATACCGTTTCCATCTTCAATGCGGACAACGAAGTACCTGCTGGAGTCAGTCACGCTCTCCACAGCTGTGCCGGGAAACTGGTCCACTGGGGCCTGTGCGAAGAGCTCCCCTGTAAGGACAGGGGGAAGGAGGTGAGCCCGGGCGCCCTCTAGCCTGGTGTTGCTAGGCACTATGTGGGCTTTCCTGCTTTGAGCCACACCAGGAGAGCTGGACAGAGGGCCACCACTCCAGGATTCAATCAAATCCATTCTTGCTGAAGGGACAATGCCACCACGAAATGAAGAGGAAAGCAGAGTCTCAAGTGGCTTACTGGTCATATCTGCCCAGAGTGTCAATGGTCTTTACTTCAGTGACAAGCATTTCAAAATCAGACTGCTTTAAACTATCCCCCATTTCTCCATTTCTGGGGCTTGAGGGGAGTGGGGGGAAGACAGGGTCTCACTATGTAGCTCTGGCTATCCTAGAACTCACTTACATAAACCAGGCTGACCTCAAACTCAGAGATTCACCTGCTTTTGCCTCTGGAGGGGCTTCAAAGCATGTGCACCATGCCTGGCCTTGGCTTTTCTTAAAGATTAAAAGTTCTACCTATGCTAGGCCTTCATCCCCACACAGTAACTCCACGATGGGGCTGCCGTCACCCAGCCCAGCAACTTATTCTGTTTGTATGGCCTGCTCAAAGGCTCAAAGTGACGGGCCCAGTGCAGGTTGTCACACCCAGAAAGGAAGGACTGTAAGAGAAGCCAGCGAGCCCCGCAGGCATCAGGGAAGTTAGGATCCCACACTAGAGTCTGCACACACTAGCTCAGTTCAGTCTCAGAGACCAGGCAAAGGGATGACAGGTCTGCAACTGCACTCTGGCTGGATATATAGCTCAGTGTAAGTGCTCCATTAGCATGCATGCGTTTGTCCCCAGCAGGGCATAACGCAGACATGGTGGGGCATGCCTGGAATCGCTATACCCTGGAGATAGAGGCCTGAGGGTCAGAAGTTCAAGGTCATCCTTGGCTACACAGTGAGTCCCTTGCTAGCCTGGGCTACATGAGACTGTCTCAAAAAGAAAGAAAAGGCACCCTTGTGTAAGTGTCCCCTTTTTGAACTCCAGGCTCCCACAGCTGCAGCGAAGACCACAAATCCAGGAGCCTTTATGTTGGGCTCCAGGCTCAAAAATGCCCTCAGTGTCCGGTCAGACACACCCTTGTTTTGTTGTTTGAGAAGGATCTCCCCGTGTTCTGGGATTACATTGGCTAAGTCCAGTGTGTTAGAAACAGCTGGGTCACCAACGATGACCTAGATGAAAACCGATGGCCCTGCAGCCTGCAGCTTCTTGTCAACTTAATCCACTTACTTTAGCACTTGGGCATGTAGATGCACCTAGAGGCCTTTACCTTGCAGCAATGGTTCTGCCATGGCCCTGAGCCGCCATGGCCAGGGCAGCCTCTCTCCACACAGCTGGAAGCTCCAGCACCCTAACTCAACCCATGTCCTGTGCCTTTACCTGAGGTCCTGTCCTCCAGCTTGATGTAGGCCACCTTCCCTTTTGCAGTAATCCGCAGCCGGCCACTCCACGATGGCTGGTCCAGCTGCCATTCTGAGGCCCTGTGAGGACAAAAAACACTGAGCCTCCTGCTCCATCCCTCCAGGGACGGGGAAGAGAATGGGGAGGGCTGCTCGTTCAAGAACACAGCCGGCCAGGGTGGAAACTAATGTCTTCAAAGGTCGCACTTCTGCCGGGCATTTGGACTGTTCTGACGATGTAGTGGGAAACGCCAAACAATGTGTGCACGAGCTGATGCTGGGTCACAGAGGGGCGGCTGAGACGGCTGAGCAGGTAAAGGCAACCACTGTTAACCCTGACAACCTGCTTGTGAGCCCTGGGACTCCCCATGGCAAGAGAGAACCAGCTCCCAGACCGCCCTTTGATTGCCACCTGTGTGACAGCAAACATGTACAGTCAGATACACACGAATCAACGTGATTAAAACACGGGGGTCTCAGTGTGTGGTCCTGGCTGTCCTGGAACCCCCTTTGTAGACCAGGCTGGCCTTAAACTCAGAGATCTGCCTGCCTCTGCTTCCTGAGTGCTGGGATTGTACCTGTGTGCCATCATGGGACCCACATGGTGGATAAAGAGAACCTCTACATACATGCTGTGACAGGCATGTGCCCACACACACACACAATAAGTAAATAAACTTAAAAAAACAAAAACCAAACAACTTATTACAGGGGCTTGAAAGATGGCTCAGTGGTTAAGAGTACTAGCTACTCTACTTGAAGATCCAAGTCCAATTCCTAGCACCCACATGGCAGCTCAAAGAGTCTGTAACCTGAGTCCTAAGGGATCGCTTCTGGCCTCCTCAGGCACCAAGCACTCATGTGGTACTCACACATACATGCAGACAAAACACACATAAACACACAAAAAGTAAATTTAAAAATAAAAACTATAATAGCTATATAAAAAGCTAAAAAGCAGCCAGGGGGTAGTGATGCATGCCTTTACCCTAGCACTCCGGAGGCAGAGGTGGGCAGATCTCTGAGTTCGAGACTAGCCTGGTCTACAGAGTGAGTTCCAAAACAGCCAGGGCTACACAGAGAAATTCTGTCTTGAAAAACCAAACCAAGCTGGGTGGTAGTGGTGCACGCCTTTAATCCCAGCACTCGGGAGGCAGAGCCAGGCAGATCTCTGTGAGTTCAAGGCCAGCCTGGGCTACCAAGTGAGTTCCAGGAAAGGTGTAAAGCTACACAGAGAAATCCTGTCTTGGAGAAAAAAAAAAAAAAAAAAGGAACAAAGAAAAACCAAAACAAAAGCTAAAAAGCTATTTTTAGCAAATATCTTCTAAATATGGCTGAATCTCAATAAGTACACAGACACTAAAATCTCAAACTCAAAATTTTTACATTATGAAACAGTATTCAAAATCTCCAATCATTTGAAGTTGTAAAAAATATTCTTAGCTTGTGGGCATTCGAAACCACAGGCAGCTGTAGCTTGCTGGCCCCCATTCTAAAGACCACAGACCTTCTCCCAAGTGGGATTTCCTTCCCAGCTTCCTTTCTGCAGAGGAAGCAGCTAGGCCCTATTGTTTCTGGTAAGACACAGTAATACCAAGCTGGCGAAACTGACCAGCTGGGACCCTGAGACCATGTTGGAAGAAGTACAAAGGAGTCCAGTCTTTGGTAGGAAGAGCTAAAAAGTACATGAGCATACAGGGGGGAAACGGGGTGGTTAGGAAACACATTCCCAAATGTATTCCAGGCAGGAAGAAACACAAGGAAACAAGGACCCTCATCGAAAGCCTCTTTGGTTCCTTTAAAAAGCAACAGTGAGCCCGGCACGGTGGCGCACGCCTTTAATCCCAGTACTTGGGAAGCAAAGGCAGGCGATCTCTGTGAGTTCGAAGCCAGCCTGGTCTACAGAGCAGATGCCAGGACAGCCAGGACTGTTACACAGAGAAACCCAGTCTCAAAAAACCACATACACACACACACAAGCAATAGTGTAGCGGGGCGGTGGTGGCGCACACATTTAAACCCAGCACTCGGGAGGCAGAGGCAGGTGAATCTCTGTGAGTTTGAGGCGAGCCTGGTCTACAGGGTAAGTTCCAGGACAGCCAGGGCTGCACAGAGAAACCCTGTCCTGAAAACCAAAACAAAACAAACAAAAGAAAGGCAATAGCGTCACATTTTAGTTTGCAGGAGCAGCAGCACAGCACAGAAAAACCCCTAAGCAGCAAGCACCATGGGTATTTCCAGAAGGCTTTTCTGGGAAGTTCCTAAGCAAATGTCAGCTCTCTAGAAGTCTCAATGGCAGCTGTTGAGAGCCACACAAATGCAGATTCACAGCTAACAACACAGCAGACTCAGTTTCTGTTCCTCTTACTGGGCAGTGGGCTTTAGATCCAGGCTAAGGAGAGCCCCAAAGGTTAAGTGCAAGGCTGGCAGTTTGTTCCCTATCAAACCAGCCTGGCTGGATACTTGGTGACCCTGCCCTCTGGAGGACCAAGAGGAGCCAACCCTCAGCTACTGAATGAAGACGCAACAGATCTGCGTAGACAGCCATCTCTGCTTTGGTGGCCGGTGTCCAGTTTAATGACAGAAAGGGAAGGGTTCTGGCTCGGGAGATGGCTCAGTGAGGGTGAACATGTGCTGAGCAAACCTGAGGACTTGAGTCTGGATCTCCAGAATCTAAGAGCCAGGTGCGGCTGCAGGCTCCTATAAACCCCCCACTGTGTGGTGGCAGGGCAGAGAAAGGGTCCCTGGGGATTTCCGAACAGCTGGACTAGATGAAACAGCAAATTCTAGGTTCAGTGAGAGACCATCTCAAGGGAATAATACAGACAGTGAGAAAGGAAGACACTTGATGGTCATCCTGTGGCTTCTGCATATGTGCGCATGGGCAGGCATACCTATCATACACACACACACACACACACACACACACACACACACACCACAGACGGTTGTTGCTTGCTGACCTCCATTCTTGTTATTTTCATACTATTTTAAAATCATCTAACCGACACAGTAAGTGTTCAGTAAGATACCCGTTCAGAAACTTTGCTATGTGCCTGTGTTACACAAGTGTGAAGGACAGATAAGTCAACACACTTGTGGTACAGACCACCTCCTATTTCCAAATAACTGAGACACACGCTGCCTTCAAAGACCACCCATGCCAGGCAGTGGTGGTGCTCACCTTTAATCCCAGCACTAAGGAGGCAAAGGCAGGCGAGCTCTGTGATTTCAAGGCCAGCCTCACAGAGTCCCAGGATAGACAGGGCTATGCAGAGAAACCCGGTCTCGAAAAACCGAAAGAGCTATCCTTCCTAAGTAGCCACACCCCACCCATCACAGGGCACAGGCCACACCATTTATATCAGCAATATCTTTTTTAAAAGTATTTTTCATCTTGTTTGGATGGGGAAATGCAAACAGTACGGGAGGTATGTAACAATGCCTGTCCAACTTGGGTTCTCCTCTCTTCGAGTCCTGGGTTCCCTTCCAGAGCCACTCCGTGTGTTTACAGGCATTTGCGTTTATTTGCCTCAGGTGACAAGGGCAGTGGGGTCCTCCCAGCCGCAGCTTGTTGTGATCAGGGATGAAACTGGGCCCCAAGATAGGGTCGGGTCCCTCCGATGGAGTCGGGTTCCCTCCCGGTGGGGATATCCGCGAGTGGCAGGGTTTCCAAGGGTCCCTTCAAGGCTGTCGGTTAGCGACCCGTAGACCCCGCAGCCCACTCGGGTCCCCAGGAGCTGGCAGTGACGCGCTGCCCGCATCCCGCTGACAGCTCCCGACCTGCGACCCCTCCAGGGTCTGGCCCCGACAGGAAGCAGCCACGGGGCTCCCTTCCTTCCTTCCCTAAACGCGACAGCCCGTCCTTGACCCCCGTAGTGCATGCCGGGCGGCGGGGAAAGGTTAAGCCAGGTACAGTCACCTGTAGCCACGGTTGGTCGCCCGCGGCGGGATGCGGTAGACATGGACCTCTGGCTTGACACAGAGAACCGACTCGTATTCGCTCTCCTCCATCTCCGACCGCCAGAGCGCACCCGACTTCCGGCTCCTTCCCCACCCCCTTGGGACCGGAAGTGACGTGACTCTATGCCCAGCTCTGTCTAGAGCAGCGGCTCCCGGCCGGCCCTTGGTTGCTCCCCGTTGAGTGCCCTCTGCCGGAAGCCTTGGATCAGAACAAGAGGCGAGGGATCCCTGATGCGCCGAGCCCGGAAAAGCAAGCGACGCAGACTAAGGCCTAATCCGGAAATCTGGTTGTGGTTCAAACTCCTGTACCCTGGGCCAGGCCGGCTGACAGGCCAAACTATGCCTTCTCTGCAGCTTCTCCCTCCTCCAGCTCTCGTATGTGCATGTTCTCAGCGGAATGTCCTCCTCCCTGCTATCCCCAGAAGGTTCTCAGAAGCTTCTGGAGAAACCTCGCTCCACCACCCTATGTACTTTTTTATAACCTACTATGTGTCCAAGGCCCCAGCTCAACAGGAGTGGAAATCAAAGTTGTGAACTAAAAGTTCGTGGGTGTTTTAGTCACTCTTCCATCGCTGTGAAGAGACGCCGTGACCATGGAAACTCTTATAAAAGAAAGCATTTAATTGGGGGCTTGCTTACAGTTTCAGAGGTTTAGTCCATTATCATCATGGTGGGGAGTGGAGAAGCAGCTGAGAGCTTTACAGCATGATCCTGGGGAGGGAGAGGACCCCAGGAGGTGGGGGACCTCAAAGCCCCTTCCTGTTACCCACCTCCAACAGGAACACACCTCCTAATCCTTCCAAAGAGTTCATCAGCTGGGGACTAAGTATGCAAATATATCAGCCTAAGGAGGGCATTCTCATTCAAAACACCGAATTGGGGGAAAAGCTACATCTGTGTGAAACATTGTACAGATTGATGGATTGTGAAAAACTGGATTATTACAGGTTAGGAGCCAAATTGCTTTGGGGCTATCTTGACCCTCTAAATAGCTATTGCCCACTTCTGAATGTGACCTAACATCCTTGTGACTATTAGGTAAATCCTTTTGGATTGCACAAACCCCTAGCTTCCACCAATGAAAAGGCTAAGAATATCATCGGATAGTGTCTGAGCCCATTAACTGACACTTCCCTGCTTTGCTGTGACCCACCTGCCTGATGTCTCCACCAAGAGTTTAAAAAATGCCTTGATTTATAACTACTTTTTCATCACTGTGGTGGTTTGAATGAGGATGGCCCCCATAGGCTCATATATTTGCATGCTTAGTCATCAGGGAGTGGCACTACTTGAGAGGGACTAGGAGGTGTGGCCTTGTTGGAGGAAGTAAATCACTGGGGATGGCCAAAGCCAGTGTAAGTGGCTCTCTCTTCCTGCAGCCTGCAGATCTGGATGTATAACTTTCAACTACTTCTCCATCACCATGTCTGCCTGCATGCCAGCATGTTGCACCATGAGGATAATGGACTAAACCTCTGAAAATGTAAGCCACCCTAATTAAATATTCTCTTTATAAGAGTTGCTGTGCACTCCTGTTCTGTGGAGTCTCTGCTGACACCTCGGGGTCCCAGCTCTGGAGAGCAGGGCGGCACTGCTCACGGATGCCGAGAGTCTGCATCCATATGCATGCCAGGCTCATATGTTGATTTAGAACTCTGGATTTTGTCCTCTTTGGGTTGGTTTGTTTTCCTTCCTCCCTCCCTTTTTTCCCCCTCTCTTTTGTAAAGGCAGTTTATCTGACCCAGCAAGGACCCTTCAGTTAGATAAATTTGTTTTATGAAACTTCATGGCTCCCATCCATATTTTTTTCCCTACTCTTCGAATTGGCACACACAACTGAAGAGCTCTTGCATTGGCAGGCTGGGAGGGCCTGGACTTGGACATAGTGTCTTGGTTTCACTTGTTTTATTTTATTTTATTTTTTAACTAAAGCTATATAAAGCTTGTGGATTAAACAGAATAAATTTCTAAATTTAAGAACGTTGCCACTCACTTTTATTCACTTTCCTGGGTACTACGAAACAACTCGAACTTCTTGGTAGAGCTGGGTGTTGAGGGAAAACAAAATGATGAAACAGGACTTTT